TGGCAGTGGCAGTGGCAGTGGCAGTGGCAGTGGCAGTGGCAGTGGTAGTGGTAGTGGTAGTGGTAGTGGTAGTGGTAGTGGTAGTGGTAGTAGTAGTAATAGTAGTAGAAGGAAAGAGATTAATCTAAATGCCTCAGCTGTTAGTTTAGAGTTGGAATTTCCCACTTAATATACAGCGCTTCTTTTATCTTAACTTGAAAACTCAAGGCAGCAGAATCTGGAATCGTGAAAGATTCTGCAGAGCACGAGTCACGACAAGTCCCTGATTACTTCAAGTGCTTGTAAACATGCGAAGCCTCGTCCGACACAAGGTGCTCGCGGAGACGTGTACAAATGTGGCGTGGCCTCGCAAATGTAGCAAGCATTACAGCCAGCACACGTTAATTTATAAGCGACACGCGCACGGAGACTCTGCGGCACGGCACTAACTTGCTATCTACATCAGTTTTGTAATAACGTTTAAACAGCTGTCTTAATTTAATCTGCGCAACTTTAGAGAAAGGGCCAAATAAGGGAGTTTGTAGAAATGTGTAGAAGTTCCATCAGAGCTGACCGGGCCGGTCTGCACGTTTGCAGGATTGACATAAGCGTCGTAAGCGTCCCTGTCCATGACAGCTATGCCATTTCCCTTGTCAGGTTTAAGTATAACTATGTCCTTGTTCTTTCTCAGTTCCTTTAAAATCCTGAAGGTTGATGCGATGAAACATACGAGTGGGCGAGATGAGAGAGATCCACAACCAGTTTTCCCTTTTGCTCCTTGTCAATGGTATTTGCTCATGATAGTAGTGTTTAGTTTCAGGAGGTCCTGGCACTAAACAGTATCAGTTACTAGGGAGTCGGTCAGATGTTCCTATGGAGCTAGGTTGAAATTCATCGTTTGTGATTTATCTTCATTTCCTTTCCATCGCAGATTCTCCACCAATAGTACTTGTTATTGCCGGTGTGTCTACCATTGTTGGTTTAATGATGATCTTGTTGTTATTAACTCTTTACTTGAAAAGAAAGAGAAGAAATTGTGACGAAGAAAACACTAATGAATGTCAAAACCAAGAAAATGAACAGAACCGCCCTAGCGGTGCATCGGCTACACAAGAGGAACACATAGATCTTCAGTTTTCTCCGGTGGTGGAAAGAACAAACACGCGCAAGCAATCATTTTCAGAGCAAGAGTTAGGGACTTCATGCTACAAAAATCAAAGGAAACAATCGCAATCGCACGGCACTTTAGCGCGGGAAAATCTTGCGCCTGTTGTGGAGTAAAGAGTTCATCCAACGAATTGCGGGGAACTAGTGAACAATAGATATTCATCCCCACTGTCTCAGCCTGGGCAGCAAGAGGTGGTGAAGGGAATCCTGATGGCAGACGAAAGTTGAAAGAGAGCGAGAATTATGAACTGTGAGACCTAAATAATTTTACATAAACGTTTCAACACTAACACGCTCGGTCACGAATGATCAAGACTACACGTGATAAACAAGAAAAGTACAACAGCAGGTTCCTACGCGGAATGAGAAAATTCTTCGATAAGAATCCCATCTTCATTTCAATCTTGCTGTCAGCCGATTACTTCATTGATGTTGCTAAGCAACACATTTGGTAAGCTAGATAAGACTGAAAGTAGCGAGTAAGCGCACAGTATTACAAGACTTACAAGAATCGGGATGGCTCAAGTGCTTCATTTTGCAACGAAAAATGGCAAAAGTGCAGATGAATATTATAAATATTACTAAAAGTAAGAACAACCGATAGATGAAAAAAAAAAAAACATTATATGTTCGCGCCTGGTGTGGTGCAGTCACAAGGAGTGACATTATCTGTAGAGTAGCCTGGCTACACACTTCAAGTCAAGATGGCATGTCTTCTGTAATTTTCTTTTATTGAAAAAAAAAAACAAAAAATGTCCTTACATTTAACACCTTTTGATTAATTTGTTCTTTGAATCCGTACTGTTCGAGTCTGTAAATGAAATCATTCAGTCCGACCACTTGATCGCCATAAATTGTACGGATAGTAGGTCATATTCGTATTCTCGGTATTGAACTGGAACTAGCTTGCAATGGAGGCTCATGGGGCGGAATATCATTAAAAAGAAATTAATGTCATTTGCATTTGAAAAGACTCCCGCATTAACCTCAGTTGCAAGCTAGTTCCAGTCCAATACCGAGAATACGAACATGGCCTATTGAGATTATAGCGCTGAACCTTGAACCTGTGTAATTTAAATCAAACAAATGTCCAGTTATTGGTGAACAATTTTCAATATCGTCCTCAAGTAAGAGTCAAATAAAACTTCTACCTAGAGACATCAGTTATTGTCATAGAAACAGTATAACATATAAAACACACCCTTGAAATTATGTTCAAATGCTGATAACTCAAATGCGAACCACGTGACACTCATTTATGTTATCGGTCTAGAAGGGTTTGAAAGCTGTCATATTATTGTTTAGATCTCTGATTTTTGGCAGCCATGAATTACTTGACCGACACGGTGACATGTTGCTCACGGGGACCCAAGCCCTGGCCGAGATCATTGTGTTATGTTCTTGGGACATTTTACTCTCACGCTATCTCTTTCCTCCCAGGAGTGAGTACAAGCACACTGCTAGGGCGCCTGGACCATATAAAATCTGCAGTGGACTTTCATCTCCCCCGGGGGGGGGGGGGTTGGGAGAGGAGAGGGGTAGCAATACGCGTAGTCACTTCATACTGTTGGAAACGGGATTGGCGCGACTGTTTTGAGCCGCTGGTTTAAGGGAAGCTTTTACCTAAATTTCTTTTACATAACCCTTTTTAACTTTGCAAATAGTCAGCAGTTCAGTTGATACTCCAGCTCATTTTCTAGCTTTTTTTCCCTCGCTAGTTGATTAAAGGTTTAAAATTTAGTTCATTTATTAGCCATACACAGAAAAAAAAGATCTAGTGATGCAACCATGGAGTAACAAAATGTACGCATCTACACACAAAAAATAGTCACCCGAACGGTAGCCGATCAAAACTTGTATTATATCGGGAGAAAACTTGGTACATTTTGTTGACCTGTAAAGCCTCATACCCAATCATAGCAGGGGTTTATATCTCAAAATATAAAAAAAATATTTTCTTTAACACAAAATTCCCGATATTGCGGCATCATGACAACAAAAGCGTCTGTACTCAATATATATTTGCGGGATCATTTCGAGTTCCCTGTCTAATTTATAATAGAAAGGCAAACTATGTTATGCAAAACCTTGACCTTCAAACCATTTCTGGGACACAAGCTTCGAGAGGTAAAACGAATTTTACAATAAATGCTGAAATTCTCGCGCGCTCATTCGATAATTTTCATTGTCAATAAGCGAACAGACTCATGAATTTACAATTTATGCAATGAGCGAGAGCAGACAATTTGTTATTGTAAAAAACAAATTGACGTCAGTTTTTCATTCGCTTGTCCCGTTATTGATCATAAATTTCGTCATAACATTTTCAAAATATTCTGCGGATCCACTCGGCTATCAGCTCGCGGATCCACAGCTACTTTGACAATGTTATGACAAATTCATGATCAATAACAGGACAGACTCATGAAAATTGACGTCAATTTGATAAATTTACTCCTTGTGATGTTTCGCTTCTCTTATTATCTTCAATATGTCTGTGAAATCTGATAATCAATATGTCTGTGAAATCTAATAATCAAGTTAAATATTTAGGACTCATTTTTGATTCCAATTTGAACTGGAAACCATATTTACACGAATTGAGCAAGAAGGTTTCAAGAGGTATTGGAGTACTATCTAAAATTAGATATTATGTAAATAGAAACATATTACATCAATTATATTATTCAATTATCTACCCCTTCCTCACCTATGGTTTATGAATTTGGGGCAATACTTATAGTACTACTCTTAAATCCTTAATAACTCTTCAAAAGAGAGCTATACGTACTATAAGTTTTTCAAAACCAGATGAACACTCTGAGCCTCTTTTTAAGGAATTAGAGATCCTTAAATTAACTGATCTTGTTACCCTTCACAATGCACTCCTCATGTA